CTCAGATACCTGAGCACAGCCTCACTCCAAATTAGTCCATATCCAATGTCGGGCAGTGACTTGTGCCATCAGAAACCAGCAAAAAAAAGGCGTCCTTTAACGTCAGCATGATATGCAGCCGGTTGGTGTTATAGTTTAACGGCATCAGGGGGAAACACGGCAGGATAAGGACCAGAGTGGTGGTGGATGGGTCCAACAAACCCCGACTGTCACCCGAGAGTGCAGTGCTCGCTACCTGTAAGATTCTACAGCCACACCCTGTTCCTTTTTCCTAACCCTAACCATTTCCTTTTGTTGCCTAAACCCAACCTTGTGTGTTTGTTGTTGAAGGGGGAAAAAAAAGTCAATTCGCAGTGTTGTACCAACGTAGTGGTGGAAGGAGGTGAATATGTTAAGATGTTTTCAGACTCTGCTTCCCAATCTGGGGATCTAAACTTGCAAGATAAATCTGAGGGATGGCGAGATGATTAAAGTTAGGAGAGAGTCCCTATAGCCCCTAAAAATATTGAAATGAAATAATCTGTGAAGGGAATATTACTCTTTGGACAAACTGCTACAGCTTGTAGACATCATGATTAGAAATTGCTTGGTGTTATAAAAATTATGATCACAAGATGTAAACATACCATTGTGTTGTGCAAGTGCTAGAATTTCCTGTTTAATGCTATAGCAACTGCAAGATCAGCAGGTGGCTAGGAGCAAAGGGAAGTCTGTCATTATATATGTAAGAGGAAGCGAGAGAAACAGAGGGTCAGAGACAGGACAAGGACAAGGTCACCCGGAGGACCATAAGACAAGATGTCACACCAACTGACAACCATTGTTATCTATGAAGTATGTACTTGATAGATTAGGGGAACTGAAACCCCCAAACTCCAACACCCAAATATACTGTATAAAAGCTTGCAGTAGACGCTCCTCAGGGAGCCTTTTCTCTGTAACCTCATCTTGTGTGTTGCACTATGAAACACTCCTCTTGTACAAGATAATAAATTCTGTTAAACTTTGATATTTCGGCTCCGGTCTCTATTTGCTTTAAAGGTCATTACAAACTAATTCTTATGACACTTGGCTATAAAGGATCACAAGCCAAAAACGCTGGGAACCAATGTCCTTGAATATAACTGACGGTGATATACAGTCAGGTCCATAATTATTTGGACAATGATACAGTTGTCATCATTTTGGCTCTGTACACCACCACAATGGGTTTTAAATGAAACAATGAATACCTGCTTAAAGTGCAGACTCTCAGCTTTCATTTAAGGCTTTTTTCAAAAATGTAGTATGAACCGTGTAGGAATGACAACCATTTCTTCACACAGTCCCCCAACTTTAAGGGCTCATAAGTATTTGGACAAACTAACATAATCATCAATTAAACAGTCAGTTTTAATACTTGGTTGCAAATCCTTTACAGTCAATGACTGCCTGAAGTGTTGGACACATAGGCATCATCAGATGCTGGGTTTCTTCCCTGGTGATGCTCTGCCAGCCCTTTACTGCAGCCGTCTGCACTTCCTGCTTGTGTTTTGGGTGTTTTGCCCTCAGTTTTGGCTTCAGCAAGAGAAACGCATGCTCAGTTGGATTCAGGTCAGATGATATGACTTGGCCATTGCAGAACATTCCTTTTCTTTGCCTTAAAAATGTCTTTGGTTGCTTTTGCAGTATGCTTCAGGTCATTGTCCATCTGCACTGTGAAGCATCGTCCAATGAGTTTTGAAGCATTTAGTTGAATCTGAGCAGATAATGTAGCCCCAAACACTTCAGCTTTCATCCTGCTGCTCTTGTCAGCATTCACATCATCAATAAATACAAGAGAACCAGTTCCACTGGCAGCCATACATGGCCATGACATAACAGTACCTCCACCATGCTTCACTGATGAGGTGGTGTGCTTTGGATCATGAGCAGTTCCTTCCCTTCTTCCTTCTCTTGTCTTCCCATCATTCTGGTAGTTGATCTTTGTTCTATCTGTCCATAGTATGCTGTTCCACAACTGTACAGGCTTTTTAGATGGTTTTTGACAAACTCTAATCTGGCCTTCCATTTTTAAGGCTAACCAATGGTTTGCATCTTGTGATAAACCCTCTGTATTTATTCTAGTGAAGTCTTGTCTTGATTACAAGAGCAGCAGGATGAAAGCTGAAGTGTTTGGGGCTACATTATCTGCTCAGATTCATCTAAATGCTTCAAAACTCATTGGACGATGCTTCACAGTGCAGATGGACAATGACCTGAAGCATATTGCAAAAGCAACCAAAGACATTTTTAAGGCAAAGAAGTGGAATGTTCTGTGATGGCCAAGTCATATCATCTGACCTGAATCCAACTGAGCATGCGTTTCTCTTGCTGAAGCCAAAACTGAGGGCAAAACACCCAAAACACAATCAGGAAGTGCAGACGGCTGCAGTAAAGGGCTGGCAGAGCATCACCAGGGAAGAAACCCAGCATCTGATGATGCCTATGTGTCCAACACTTCAGGCAGTCATTGACTGTAAAGGATTTGCAACCAAGTATTAAAACTGACTGTTTAATTGATGATTATGTTAGTTTGTCCAAATACTTATGAGCTCTTAAAGTCGGGGGACTGTGTGAAGAAATGCTTGTCATTCCTAGACAGTTCATACTACATTTTTGAAAAAAGCCTTAAATGAAAGCTGAGAGTCTGCACTTTAAGCAGGTATTCATTGTTTCATTTAAAACCCATTGTGGTGGTGTACAGAGCCAAAATGACGACAACTGTATCATTGTCCAAACAATTATGGACCTGACTGTATGTAGCTTGTTTTAGAGGCAGAAATAGGACTAGTGATTATTATGCACTTATGAGGACCCTGAGCTTGTCCTTATGTCGTATCAGGTCTCATCTGTGCTAACTCACCAGCACGAGACCGAGTACATTTGGCATTCTAAGGCCCCAGCTTGCCACAAGCAACGCGTTCGCTAACGGTCACTGTTTACTTGCGTTTTCATTTCAGCGAGCATGCTAACAGGTTAGAGCATTCACACCGCATCTGTTCTACGTGCTGCTCGAATCGCCCTGCTTTCTCAAGCAAGCTTGAAAATAGAAGAGACGCCGATTTTTCCGCGAGTGAATGGTCGCTGTATTTAATCGACATCTGCAGTGGTCGAGAGGTCACAACACGGGTAAATTTGTGTTTTGATGGAACAGCAGCGGCTGCTGCGCGACGTGTCTGTTCGGTTTTGGTATAAATACACGTGTGCTGCCACTACGCTCGTGGACTGCTTCACGACCGCTTTGCAAATGCATCGCTTGCGGTGTAAATGAGGCCTAAGGGTGCTCTCAGACCTAGAGTTGTCTTGCTTCGGTCTGAATCAGGGATTAGTTTTGTTACAAAGTTGCATAATTGCCTAGAGTTGGTTCGTGTTCTCACGGCAGCATTTACAAGCGGACCAGATCAAATGTCTTGTGCGGGAAAGCTGCTCTTGATTGGTCCGAATTTCCATGTGGGAAAAATCCAGGAAGTAAACAAAACGTTGAAGAAGAGTACACTTGCAAGATAAATGTGACACTTTCTAATGTCACAATGGAGGGACAACTACGCAGGTTGATTTTAGCGCTGCTCATCATGGACTATATTGCTGTCATTGTTCATTTTAGTCAAACCATACAGTTTGAAAACGAGGCGCGGCTCCAACTAGAAAACAATGTTTTGATGCATTGGATGTGCTGAATGTGCATATTAAGGCAGTACAGGAGGAGGTGCACATTAATAATCCTCCAGGACTGTAACATGCTCATGTT